CTTATGAGGAAAAGTTTTGCCATGTCCCATAAATTATGGAAAGTTGTGTTCTCATTATCATTAGTTTCCATACTTTTTTTTTTAATTTCAGACTTAATTTCATCAGTAGTTAAGAAGTCATTCAGAAGTAGGTTGTTCAGTTTCCATGTGTTTATATATTTTCGAGGGTGTTTCTTGCAATTAATATTGAGTTTCATTCCATCATGGTCAGAGAAGCTGCTAGATATAGTTGCTATGCCTTTGAATCTGTAAAGGCTTGATTTGTGTCCTATCATATGGTTAATCTTTGAAAAGGTTCCATGCCAGGGTGAGAAAAAATGTGTATTTTGTGGTCTTAGAGTGAAAAGTTCTATAGATATCTATCAAGCCCATTTGATTATAGTATCATTTATGTTCTGTATCTCTCTATTTTTCATCTAGATGGTTTGTCTAAAGGAGATAATGTGGTGTTGAGACCCCCAACAATTATAGTGTTGCTCCCTATCTCTCCATTTAGCTACAGCAGTCTTTTCTTTACATATTTAAGTGCTCTCAAGTTTGGTACATAGATATTTATTAGCATTATGTCTTCCTGCTTAATTAATTCATTAACTATTATATAATGTCCTTCTTTGTCTCTTACAGTCTTTGTGTTGATGTCCATTTTGTCTGAAATATCATAATTCCATCCCTTTTCTGATTTCCATTTGCATGTAATATCTTTTTCCAGCCCTTCACTTTTAGTGTATGTATGCCTTTATCCGTAAAGTGTATAAGTATATTTCTGGTAGAAAACAGATAGAGAGTTTCTGGGGTTTTTTGTTTGGTTGGTTGGTTTTGTTTTTGTCTTTGTTTGTTTGTTTGTTATTTTCTGTTTGGCCAGTCTGTATCTCTTAATTGGAGAACTTAATCCATTAATGTTCAATGTTATTATCAATATTTATGGACCTTTTTATGTCATTAAGTGAGTCTTTTTTTGTTGTTGTTTTTTCTTCTCTTATAGCAGTCCATCTGACTTTTTTTTCCCTGGTATAGCACTCCCTTTGGAATCTCTTGAAGAGCTGGCCTGGAGTTGGTAAATTCTTTCAGGTTTTGTTTATACAAGAATGTTTTTTACCCTGTTTTTCCCATGTGAAAGACAATCTTGCCAGGTATAGTATTCTTGGTTAAAGTTGTTTTTCATTCAACACTTTGACTATTATTTCCTTGCCTGCATTGTTTCCAACAAGAGGTCTGATGTTAGCCTGATGGGGTGACCTTTGTAAGTTAGTTGATGTTTCCCTATTGCCAATCTTAGTATTTTGTCTTTGTTGTTTTTGCCAGTCTGGCTATGATGTGCCTTGGAGAGGATCTCCTTGGGTTGATTCTATTTGGGGCCCTATGTATTTCTTGAGTCTGGATAATTGAATATCTCTCTATGTTTGGAAAGTTTTCTTTGAGGATTTCATGGAATAAATTCTCTATGCCCTTATTATTTTCTTCCTCTCTGGGATATCAGTTATCTGGATGTTGGGGCACTTGATGGTATCCAGTATTTTTCATATATTATCCTCATTTTTCTTGGTTGTTTTCTCAATCTTCTTAATATTTTTTTTATAGGTGAGAGGGTTTGTATTCTACATTTGAGAGTCAGTCTTCTGCATGACATAATCTACTTTTAATACTTTTGAGGAAGGTTTTAATGTCCTGTTTCACATTCTTTATTCCTAACAGTTCCATCTGATTCTTTTTTTATGATGTCTATTTCTTCTTTGAAATCATGAAAGGATTTCCTCATCTGGACACATTGTCTCTTGCATCTCAGTTAGTTTGGTCAATACAAATATTCTTAATTGCTTATCCAACATGTCCATGACTTCCATTGTGTTGTTTGTGGATAATGTGTAATTGATGTTTTCTCATGGAAGAGAGACATTTTGTTGGTTGCTCATATTTCTTGTGCCTCTGCAATTGTTCGTAGTCATCCGGTGATCTATATATTTCTTCCTAAATTATTCAAGATACGTCTGAGCATTCAAAGGTGTGCATGAGTAGAAAATTGGCAATCTCTCTTCTGCTCTGCCTCCCTGTTGCTCCCCAGTAGTCTGCACTGTTGTCATGGGTCCTGAGGAAACCAAAGTCCTTCCCATTTCTAAAGAACAGGTGAGCCTCCAACTGAGCTGTTGAGCTTCACCTCAGGAGCAAAGAAAAGATCACATGGCATGTGTTGTGCACCATGCGCTATTCAAAACACTGAAGTCCTTAAAGTCCACAGGCAAGTCGGGGGAGGGGAATGAGCCAAGGTCCTGGCCTTTAGGACCTACAGCCACAGGCAGCTTGGCATCTGGTAAGGCTGCTAGCTTCAACTGGTTCAGGGTTTATTTTTCTTTAATTCCATCCTGGCTTAAATATTTAAAATATTTTCTTTTTCTTTTTTTAACATTTTTTTCTTTATTTCCTTTTCTTTTTTTTTTGTTTTTGTTTTTGTTTGTTTGATCATAGAGTACATACACTCATCAGAGAAAGAGAGTGAGAGAGAAAGGGAGAAAGCACTGCCAGGGTAAATGACCACTTACACTCTCTTCTCCTCTGTTCTCCTCTTAAGATTCTGGACAGGTGAGAATTCTACCACTGAACCACCCGTGCCTTAAGATTCTGGGTAGGCATACACACATGCCTGCTGTGATTTTCAGGTCACCAGGTCCGGGACTTAAACTATGTCATCAGCCATGTGGGATTCAGTGCTTTAACCACTCTGCCACTTGCTGGCCCCAATATTTTCTTTTTTAAAACTTCAAATAATTTTAAATAAGACTATTGTGAAAACAGAAACTTAGCATTAACATAAAGAGGTATGAGATAATTTAGACATGGTACTGTTTGGCTTCATGTGTGTGTGTGTGTGTGTGTGTGTGTGTGTGCGTGTGTGAGAGAGAGAGAGGGATTAGATAGACTTTCATAATTGTTCCCAAAATTTTCCTTAGAGATTATTAGCTCACTGAGTTCCATATTTGAGTTCTTACCATGTTACAGATGCTTTCTACACTTTAGAGATAAAGAGATGAATGAGCCAAGCAGATTCCTCAGTGCCTGCTGGGGGCAGAGGAGATGAGTGCCACTGGGTACTGGGTGTTGTGAGTGGCCAGGGAGCCACAGTTCATAACACCACAGAGCTGATGAAAGAGGCAAAGGAAATGAACCTGAGGCTAGTCCTGAAACAATGGATGAAGTTTTTTCGAGGAGGCAAAAAAAGACCTGACCCATGGAAAGGCCCTGAGAAGAAAAGAGCATGGTGCTCTTGGAGAAGCAGGGTGGCAGCCTAGGAGACAGTGGAAGAGAGAGAGAGACAAGAGATGGAAGGACTATGTCTCCCTGCTGAAAAGTCAAGACTGTCCCAGAAGATTAGGGAGCAGCTTGAGCAAACTTCTTAAGAAAATAAATTAATTAATGAGCAATTGAAAAATTAAGTTGTAGTGGAGAAAAGATAGGAGATTAAATGTGAGAAATGAGTCAGTCTTCAGATTAAAAATGAAAATGCTGCATTCTCTCAACTCTGACTGCATAGTTTAAAGGATAAAATTTTAAGTAAATTTGTAATAGCTCTGATAACCTTGCAGGGATTCTAGTCAGGTTATGGGTTGAGAATTTGATTTCTGAAGATGTGAAGTGTGACACTGGTGGCTAAGTACCTGTCTACGACCCTTTTCCCCCTTTCTCTGGAAACAGCCTGAATCTGGTTGCAGCACTGTACTTTAATCACCAGTAAAGACATTTGCTTTCCATCTGCTCTTGCAACTGAGGATGACCTTAGAGATGTAAATAAACATAGGTTTCAAGGTACTTTTAGGAAAATTCTTGTCTTCCTGATGAAAGAAATACCCCTGGGTTGAGCTCCCCCCCACCACCCCAGGACTATGGACATGCTGGTGGGCCTGCGGCAGCCACCTCACACTCATGAGGTGAGGTTGGCACAATGACAGGGACATGCAGTCTAATGTCATGGAGCTGTCATTTAGCCACTTCCGGAAGACACAAAGCTTAGAAAAAATAAGCCTATATTTGACTAAAACTCTCAACACTGGATTTCCTCTTACTCAAAAACAGCACATCCCTAACTGAGGTATAAAGCAAAAAGAAACAGAGTCTATACTCAAAAGGCAAGAGAACTGTTCCCCCATGAATAAGCTGGAGAGGATTTCCATAAAGAGTGAGCTATAATTACCATGAAAAACTGGGCAATTTCAAGCACGCAGTGTTAACTATCAGCCAACTTATCTCTCAAGATGTAGAAATATACTTAAGCTTGGTGCTCACAGCTACAGGAAAGAAGCGGTTGGTAACCAGGAGACAAAGAATCCCAACTTTTGGGAAGATTTACTAAAGTTAGAGAAGAGAAAGGAGTAAGAAGACAGGAAAAGGAATGTGTCTCAGTAGATAATATGAGACACAACATCAACCATTAACCCCAACATGTTAGTGAGTAAAGTGAAAATAAAAGTGAATACGAAATGAAAACAATCAAATTGATAACTGCACACATCTGTCCACAGACACAAACAAAACCAAAATTATGGCAGACACTGAGAATATCCATTCTCTCATCTTCACTGGTAATACAAGTTTGATTCTGTATGGAGTAGAAACACACACCCCAAAAGCTCGGTTTCCCAGCTTTCCTGGAGCATGAGAACAACCAGTTCTGGGGGAAAGTTGCAATTTTTATGTATTCGCTGCTTCTTCTTCCTTAAGCTTTTGTCTTTTTATTTCCCAAAACGTAAGTGTGACATTGGGGTAACCATAGAGGGATCCTGCAGACTGCAGACTGAGAGTCTTCAGATAGGAAGACAGAAGTCAGGCCCCAGGGTCAGTGCAAAGCTGTGCCCAGCCCCAGTGGTGCAGGTGAGACACACAAAACCTTATTTGGCTCAGTGACTTAAACTAGTTAGGCTCCAATCAGAACACTAATTTATTCTCCCTATTTCAGCAAAGGAAATATAATAGGAAAAGGGGACCACCATAAAGGAGACAAAACCACGCAGAGTTCACAAGAGCAGGAAGTTGCGATCGATCACCCTGAATGCTGTAGAAAAGAAAGGAACCAGTTTGACAGCCCATCACAAAAGTGAGAGCCAGGCTGGGTGTCTCTTTGAAAAGTGGAGCTACAGAGCACTGCAGCCACCTTGAAATTGCCACCTGAGACAGGTGCAGGGACCTTATCCCCACTCACCTGCCTGTGCTCCAGTGCTGAAAGCAGCCAGCTCAGAGGGAGCAAGAAGGGACGAGCTTCCACCTGTGCAAGGCAAAGAGGATGGCCCATAGGCGACAGGTCCCTGCCCCAGATGGGCAGAACCCCCAGTCTGATGACAGCTTGGCTGTAGAGATATGTACACAACGTGTTTGAAATAAATATATGTGTTGTTTTATAGCAAGAACTTACCAAATGCTTCTCTCAAAATCCACATAGCAACTAGATAGAAGGTAAAGACAAAGAAGGCTGAGGTAACCTAGTTTGTTTTCAGAAACATACCCACAAACTGCACATACTAAACTGAATACCCAGAGTTTTCAATTATTCATGCAATGTGCGTGCAAATTAAACATTTATTAGACCATGAAGAAAATGACTCCATTCCAAACAGTAGAAATCAGATCAATCACACTCATAAGTTCTGTGATTTCCATGTGGAGACAGAATGGAAGCTTGAAAACATCTTTTGATACAATTCTTAGATTTTAAAAAATTTCAATGTTAAAAAAATTCTAATGGAATCCGTAGTCTACTTAGGAAAAGTTAAATGAAAATGATAGAGGTCAGCTCCAGGGTGCAGTGATGACGCATTATGCCACTGTGGACAGATTACCACATGGTAACCACAGTTCAAATCCCCAGCCTGGTCTGCCTGAAATATGCCCAGCGAGTGTCCAACTGCCCGAGATTCAACAGGCTGGAAGACTGGAGGTGGAGGAAGGGAACTGGGGCCAGACCAGACCCTGAGGAGCACGCTTCTCTCTCTCCTCTCTAGTGTGTGCATGTGCTCCATCAGGAAAGAGAATTATAAGAAGAAAAATGTGGTAGAATCTATGTTACTCTGCAGTCATAGCAATAGTCAGGAGAACACTCATATCCCCAATTCCCCATACTAGCAAAGAGGAATTACTAAAATCTGATTATTAGTTCTTCGCTCCTGGATTTTCTTCCTAAAAAGAACCAAGAGTAATCTATTATAAAGAAGGATGGAATTAAACAGGATTATGATATAAAGTATTGGAATTTTTCAAAATAGAAATGTTGTCCAGAAACTAGTTTTTAAAATAACTAATACATAAATCCTCTAATTCTGTGTAGAGGACATACGCATAAATAGTAGAATAATAGAAAAAAGCCAGGACTGAGGATGCAAAGGAAATTCTTTAAAGAAAAAAAATAAATCAAACTGATGGCTTTCTAGTATATATTACCTACATGGCCTACAGTTGGAAAATATGATTAGATCAATTCTCATCAAACAAATCAAAAACAAATTTTCAGTTTTCACAAATTTCCCTTACAATTTTGATAAATTTGAATTTCTTCCTAGTAAATTTCAGACCTTTAAGGAAGAAACAGTTCTATGTAATTTATTATTTATTTATTAATTCATTTATTTTTTAAAGGAGTTTTTGCCTTAGGTCATGGACCCTTGCTGGAAAGAAAGACAGAGATAGTGAAAGGGAAAGTGAGAAATCACCCCCAGGGGGGATGACAACACCATCATCCCTTCTCCATTCTCCTCCCAGAATCTTGGGCACACATACACACACAACTGGCATGATTGTCAAGCCACCTGGTCCAGAACTCGAACTGATATTGGTCGTGTAG